CAATGAGGTCTAGTAGCTTTTTTACTGAGTCTTTGGGGTTTTCTACATATAGGATCATATCGTCTGCAAATAGGGAGAGTTTTACTTCCCCTTTGCCAATTTGGATGCCTTTAATTTCCCTGTCTTACCGTATAGCTCTTGCTAAGACTTCCAGCACAATATTGAATAGAACTGGTGACAGAAGGCATCCTTGTCTGGTTCCTGTTAGCAGAGGGAAGGCTTTCAATTTCTTTCCATTGAGAGTAATATAGGCTGTTGGTTTTGTATATGTGTTCTTTATTCTGTTGAGGAATTTTCCTTCAATTCCTATTTTGTTGAGTGTTTTTATCAGGAATGGATGTTTGATTCAATCTCTTTCTTTATAGTCACGGGATTTTAGAGCCAAAAAAGCCTGGAGAGATTTTCCCTCAGTTCACAAAGAAGAACTGGGCTGGTTTAAGATAACTTAGTAAGCAAAAGACCTACCTAGAACTCCGTGCTGCCTCACTCACATATTTGTGAATTAACTATGAAGTGCAAATGTTCTTAATTTAAAAATCTGCTTTTTCATAAGAACTATATTGAATGGGTCCCATTTTTGTTGTTAGTTGCCCATTTTTGTAGCCACTGTGTCATCATAGCACTAATTTATTCAAGTTTCAACCAGACATACAGATATTTTCTCCATGTTCTTGCAGTTACTTATTTCTCCATTTTTTATACAATTAATTTCTAAGTTACAGTAAAATTTGATTTTAATTTCCTTCCCCTATTGAACATATATGATTGCTATTTTCCTTAATTTTGTATAGCAAGAACTGATGTATAATGCTTATGTGAAAAGTGACTTGATTCTCTCTCTATGTGTTCTGGTTTTCAATCATTTTAGGACAAGAACTTTTGTGTAATTTCTCTGCCCCACCTCACCCCTGAGTTTGTCCTCATCCAGAACTTCGTGAGGATGGTCCCTTTCAACAACTGTGTCCTTGAACAGGATCTCTATGTCTTCCATAGGGCTGGACTTCTCAAGTAAGTATCATCATGTGTTGCCAAAAGATGACCTATGAAGTTAAAAGTAGAGAAAGGAGTAACAATACTGGTTCCTACTATTTTTATTAATTATTTCAAAATTGTCACTTATTGGTAACGAGCTTCATCAAGATATTTTAGCTAATTCATTTAGAGAAAGAGTAATACTATGAAGGGATTTGTGCTGTAAGATACTAAAACATAACTCCACAGTAGTCAAATAATGTCATGTTGACAGAATCTATAGGTAGAACAATGTATTGCAATAGAGTCCATTGATAGACCCCCCAATACCTTAAGAATTTTGTGTGTATGTATGTGTATACAAAGTTTGCGTCCTAACAGTGAAAAATGGAAGGATTGCTCTACAAATAGTGGGACAAAAGTAAAAGTAGAAACTTTATCCATACTCTACCATAAAATAAATTCCTATTTTGAGTGAAGTGTTAAATCTAAATATTGAAAAGACAGAACCTACTTTTTGTCATGTTGATTCTGTTGTTTTTCTGGTTTCAAATTAATTTATTTCTGCTGTAGTCTTTATTATTTCTCTTATTCTGATGACTCTGGGCTTACTTTGCTGGTCTTTTTCTAATTGTTGGGGATGTGCTACAGTGTTAATTTGGGTCCTTTCTTCGTTTTGGATGTGTGCATTTATTACTAAAACTACCCTCTGGGTACTGATTTTACTGTGTCCCAAAGGTTTTGACATATTGTATTTATTCTTATTTGAGTCAATGAAATTTTTTAATTTCATGTTTTATTTGTACTATTACCCAGTAGCTTTTTAGCAGGGTGTCATTCAGTTTCCATGTACGTGATTTTGTTTCCTTGATCTTCTTGTTGTTTTCTAATTCTATAGCATTGTGATCTGAAAAGATGTTTTGTATTATTTTAATGTTTTAAAATGTATTGAGGCTTACTTTGTGGCCTAACATACAGTGTATTCTGGAGAATGTTCCATGTGTACTGGAAAAGAATGTGTATTTTGCTGCTGTTGGGTTGAGTGCTCTGTATTATGAGCTCAAGTTGATTGATTATGTTGTTTAGTTTTTCTGTGTCTTTGTTGAGTTTCTTTCTAGTTGTTCTGCCCTTTATCAAGAGTAGTGTATTAAAATCTATTGTTGTAGAGTTGTCAATTTCTTTCTTCAATTCTATTGGAGTCTGACTTCTGTATTGTGAGGCTCTTTCATTGGTAGCATAGATTTTTATTATTGTTATGTTCTCTTGTTCAATTCAGCTTTTAATCAGGAGAAAATGTTCTTCTCTGTCTCTTATGCTGGTTTTTCCCCTAAAGTCTATTTTATTAGAAACTGTCGGGGACCCGTCTCGACGTAGGGGTTCGGTTCACGAGGAGAGGATACCTGACGGCGAGTCATATATATCAAGAATACACATAAGGAGACAGAGAGAAAATGAGGCACCCCAAAGCCAGGGTGGATACATCACTGGTGGGCAGGCCTGGGAGTACAGGCATCATGGCCTCTGCAGGCAGCAACTCACTGCCCTGCCATCTTTACCGCATGCCTTCCAG